AACAGTTGTGTGATGTATCTTGCTGCACCAAACACCCACTTCTATTTGTAAATACCAGATCAGAATGTACTGATTCCAAATACACAACTTTAAAAAAATGTTTTCTCATTTTGTCATCATGCACATCTTTTTTATTTTATTTATTTTTTAATTTATTTTTCTTTAAACAGTAACTTCGACAGTCTTATACCGACACTGGCTACGCGCACACAAACACGCACGCACGCACGCACGTCTGGTTTGCTATCCTTGTGGGGACATCCCATTGACATAATGCTTTCCCTACCTGCTTAGCCTAACCCTAACATCAAAAATGAATGCCTAACCCTTACCCTAAACCTAACAATAACCTAATTGTAACCCTGACACGAAGACCTGGATTTTGGTCCCCATGAGGGCTGTTGGTCCCCACCAGTATTGTAAATACACACACACACACTATTTGTGGGCTGGATTTCACAGTGGCTGTGCTTGCTTACTGTAGGGTGTAAAGATCCTGTAAATCTGTGGGTCAGGTCATACTTCAATTTGTATTTTAGAACACGGGAAGATGATATTTACTCTACGCATCCTCGCTTTGTGATCAGTTCTACCAGTTTGTTATGAATTTCCATTTCACTCTGATGAAAGATGCTTAACAATTATTCAGACTAGCATGCTTATAACCAAGCTCTCAGCTGTACATCGCTACATAACATAAGCGCATGGCTAATGAATAGATTACATCGATGTCACGTAGGGCTGAACGATATATTGCATTTGCGATAATATCGCGACATGATCAAGTGCAATTTTCTAACCGCAAAGGCTGCGATTATACTCTGGACATGTCCTCCTCCTGAGGCCGCATTTGTAGACCGATTACGTCACAGCGACGCGCCGAAGGCTGCCCAAATTCGTAGACTCCTCCGAATGCAGCCGACAAATGAGTCCTCCTTTTCCCCCGAATTTGAAGGATGGGTCGGGTGTGTCCTTCGTGGCCTACCATATCCCAGAATTCATAGCGCGGCCCAGCCAAACTCCAG